CTTTGACTAGACTTTACTTTCGATTTCAATGGGCAGCAGCCATTTGGGTAGGAGAACTCCACCAGCAGATACTTTCAACACCAAAACGACAGACAGGTGGCATTAGTTATGGTATCCAAAATGATGACAGATGTAAATTAGTTGCAGATGCAATTATAACTAAACTTTTCACTGGCAGCAGCTGCAGCGAATTCGATTGGAATTTATGGGCTGCATTTAAGATATACAGACATACATACATATATTATTGAAAAATATAATTTCATTCTAGTTGGAATATACATATGTACATACACATATATGCTGGCTGGGCTGGGCTGGGCTGGGCTGGTGCTTTTGTGATCCTATTATTTTATTTAAATATTTTCATATTTACATGCTTTCTGCAAATAACTTGTGTAAATATTCCACAAACATCAACATTCACATAAAACACAAACGAAACGAAACGAAACGAAACGGCAAGGACAATGAAAACGAAAATGAAAACCAAAACCAAAACCAAAACGAGAAGTAGAAGTAGAATGAGATAGAATTCACCTACTGAGAGCCCAAATATTGGTTTTGTGCAATAACAAAAACAACTGCAACAACAATAAAAATGGCAATAATAATACCAGCAGCAGCCAACACCAGCCACAAAACTCGAACTCGAACTCGAACAACAAAGCCCATCCACCGTATGCACAGTTAGCACTTGTTAGACAGCAATTTTTGTTATAAATAAATTTCAGCAAATTGCCAAAAATATAGAAACAAAACAAAACAAAAGAGAAAAACTAAAAAAGAAAAAATTCAAATTAAAAAGTAATATGTAAAATATACAAAAATACATATGGGGAATATGGTCAATAATGGTCGCATTTACAAATGAGAAATGCAATTTTACCCAAGCGCCAAAAGAATGCAAAAAACAAAGACAAACAAAAAAAAAACTATATAGGAACAGCAGAGCAGCATAGTTTTGGGTACTAAAATATAGCACTAAATGTGCAGAAGAAAATATAATTGAAAACTTGGCAGTAAGCAGAGGAACAGATCAGAGCAGATCTTGAAACGGAAACAAAAATGTGGCCCCAAAAAGGTTCCCAACGAACGGGGAGAAGCGGCAGCAGTGGGCCAATAAATACAATCATAATTTTAGACAGCTTAGAATATTGCTTAGATATCTTAGTTTTAATAAAAAAAAGCCATCAAATGCAGCAAAATTGTAACAAATTCCATTTAAAATTCATCAGAAAACTGCAGATGGCAGGCAGAAAGTATTTGGACTCTCGTGAGTCTGATTTAATGTTCGGGCACTGCTGCATTAACTGGAAATATAGTAACGTCAATTAAGTTAGGCAAAAATATAAATAATATAATAAATAAATAATAAATAATATATATATTTTTTATATATAATATATGTATATTATATTATTTTATTATATTATACTATTATATTATATAATATATATTTTATTATTATATAAATATAAATAAGAATTATAAGAAAGATTAAGAAGAACCTAAAGGTCTAAAAGGTCCCAGAGTCTTGGCCTGGAATTGGAAAGACTACAGAAACGTAAACGGTTTTCGTATCTGCAGTTAGGGAAGGAGAGTATTATAATACTAAAAGAAAGGGATACAAATGAATTCCTATTGAAAATGAATATACACGTATTTGTGGCATTGGTTGTTGGTTGGGCTCGGGCTCGGGCTGCTTTTTGGCATTGTTTATGGGTTTAATTTTGCATATGGCCCCCCAGCCTTTATCATGTATGTATTTCCCTTGTGGCAAGAGTAAAGTCACCCCCGCCAACCCCCCCTTGCTAGCACATTCACTTGCTGTACCCTGTGCCCAAAAATGTATTTCTGTTGCGGCATCAATTTTTGTGGTCATCCAACAATGCGCGAACAGAATAAAGGTGGCAGGCAGGCAGGCAGGAGGTACGGGTGCAGGTGTGGGGGGGTACAGGTGTGCTGTGGCTGGGGCGTGGCATGTGTTTAATTGAGGTCACTCGTCGCTGGCTGGAAAGTGGCCGATTACCACAAACGGAGGCAGCAGCACCAGCAGCAGCAGCAGCAGCGGCAGCGACAACGGCGGGAGAAGAGTGACCTGTTTACCCAAACACTTTTGGCCGAACGCACAGCAACAACAACAACAACAAATACAACAAATACAACAACAACAGAAACAAATGTTCAGGGGGGCCCCTTGAAGAAAGAGAGAGCTCCAACGCAGAGGGAGATAAATTCCAGTGAAACGAAAACCAATAAATAAAACAGAGACCAAACCAAGTGACAAAGAGAGAAAGAGATGAAGCGGCAGCGTGGTAAAAGTAATGCCGCGTCGGCGGTTACATCACAGATGTATCTCACAGATACAAGCATACGCAGATGGATACGTGCACGTACCGCGATCGACGCATTGTTCTCTGGCTGCACTTGTGAGTTGTGGATACAAAACCTGCCCTGCCTCGCTTACCGATTAACTTTTTGTGGCTTCTTTCGACACGGTGACATTGCGAGTGGGGAGCACCTGGAGAGCACCTGGAGAGTACCTGGCGAGTACCAGGCGAGTAGCTGGAGTATCTGCCACAAGCAGCTATTGCGACATCTACAAGTGTGTATCGGATACGTATCTGCAGCTGCAGCGGCATTTGTAGCAGGTGATGACATCACTGGTATATCTAATGTCTGTACGTGTGTCTCTGTGTCTCTTAGCCTGTGGATTTGCATCAAAAACGTGCAACAAATTTACAAGATAATCAACGCACAGAAACAAACGACAAGCACATAACGAGATACACGTACTGACAGATCCACAGACACACACACACACACACACTCTCACCCCCCCCCCCACTCGCTCACTTTTCTTCACCTTTTCACTGCTCACTTTTCTTGTCGTTTCTTGGATGCAAATGAAAATGAACATTTCATATTTGTTTTGCAAGGCCCTGCCTGTCTGCCTTCTTGAAGCACTTTATGGCCGCTTTCCTCATCGTTGCCAGAGCGCCTGTCATCGTTTCTCGTTGCATTCAAATTCAAGCCCCAACCTCCAACCTCCACCCAGCAGCAGCTCAATCAACTGGCCAGAAGCCACACTCCACACTCCACACTCCACACAGTGTTGGGGCAGAGTTAATTAAATGAAATTACATTGGGGAGCCATTTGCTGGTTTTCGGTTTGCCAGCCAGCCAGATAAACGACAAAACTGGGCGGAAAAAGGGCCAGCGTGGAGCGGTGCCATCAACTTTCGAGCCACTTGCAACCAGGCAGCCGGCAGCCGGCAGCAGGCAGCAGGGCTGTCTCTCCAAATGCGAATTACACTGCGACAAACAAATACAAAATTACTGTGGCATAATGGAGCAGGAAACTGTGCAGAGAGTGGAGCACCAGAGGTTCGTTTTTTAGGCGTTTTTATCTATTGATTTGGCATCTCCAAAAAGTCTGAATTAAATTGTATTTTTTGGGGTGTTTTATATTCTCTAAGAAAAGGATTACAAGCTGAGAACCACAAAGGAAGGGAGATTGTTAAAGATTTACTCTCCATGTTGCTCCGCTGAAAACTGACAGCCCCATTTGGGTATTCCACTTTAAATATATATATTTAGAAATCATTTCTTAGGTGCATTTTCAGCTGAAGTTAATCGGAGCAAGTGAAAGCCGCTGAAGAGCCAATAGAATGGCACAGACAGGCCACAGATTCAAGTGATTGGCGCACTCGTATGGCCGGCCATCTACGGGCCACATTTAACATCGTTTTAATCTATTAGCATAATGGGAAAAGCTCAACCCAGTTAGGGACTGGGACTGGCACTGGCACTGGGACAGAGGGGCTGGGACAGGGGCTGGGCACCTGGTTTAAGAGATCAATTAGCGGCTCGAATTTCAATTTCCAAATGAATATTAAGATCGCATCGCAGCAAAGCCCAAAAGCCAAAAAGCCCAAAAGGCATGGCCCGGAGACAGCGGGAGAGCAATCAAAATGAAACACTTTTACTTTGCGTTTCGCGTTTCGCTTTAAACGATTAACGAGACGAGGCGGGACGGAGGGGGGCGGAAGGGGACGGTACGGTACGGTACGGGAAGAGAGAAAAACACCAAAAGGAAGATGACCAAAAATCGGTTTCTGATGATGTTTGTTTTATGCGCATAATTCGAAATTTATTTTTATGTCTTATTAATTTTACATAAGCGAAGCGCCGCGGCGGCTGCTTCCGCGAGTCTGGGAAAAAAAAAATATATATCTGACGGTGAGACTGCAAGATAGACACAGAGAGGGAACGAGAGAGAGAGAGAGAGAGAGAGAGAGAGAGAGAGAGAGGTACAATTAACAGCAGAAGATGAAGTGGAAAAAGTAAAAGTTGAAAAGGTTGCTGCAGCTGCAGGTGGCCAGGGGCCAGTGGCAAGAAGTGAGCTCTTCAATCTCCAGCCAAATGCCAATCGAGAAATGTGTCACAAGCACCAACAACAACAGCAACAACAAAAACCAGAGAAAAGAAGAGAAGAAAGAAATCTGAAAATGTTGTTGCCGTGTGGCAGGCGTGGGAGTTTTTTTTTTTGGCTGAGTTTTGCCAATCAACTTGTCAAACCAATCGAACCGAATACCAAACGAAATAACACAAACTTCAGCTTCACTTCATTTGCGTGGGCCCCCGTAACTTTCCTTCGCTAAGATCATTTTTTATTATTATTTTTTTGTTGGGAGCGACCGAAACACCTTCGAGAGCAGCTGAGAGATCTGTCAGTCAGTCAGTCAGTCAGTGAGTTGCTTTGTTGTCGTGCTGCCTCAAGGGCCCATCAACTGACATCACACATCAAATTATTTATGAATTTGTCACATAAATTGAAAGCGAAAGCCGAACCGAACGGACCAATCGATCGTGGCCGTATAAAAGTTTCATCGACTGCAGTCGCGGCACGGCAGCCCCAGCAGCAGCAACACCAAACACCAAACACCAAATAGTAAAGACCATTTCGGTGCAGAGCTATACAAAGGATCCCATCCCGTTCCAAGGCAAAATGTTCAGCATACGCAGTGGGGGCCCGCCTGTGCTGATGGCTCTGCTGTTGGCCCTGCTGATGGGCATGGTTTTGGCCAAGCAGGACACTGCAGGTGAGTGTGCCCAGCTCTAGAGATCTACAACATACATGCTGAATACCTTTTCAACCATTTAGCCCGTCAATTTGGTGGCCAGAATGGCTTTGGGAATGGCTTGGGTCCGGGTCTGGGTCCGGGTCTTCCACCCTGGGGACAACCACAGCAGCCTGTCGGCGGTGGCGGCGGCGGCGGGTGTCCGCTCTGTGACTCTTCGGTGTACAGCTACTGCTCCCACAAGATGGTGCATGACTCTTGCTGCTGTGATTTTCCAGGTAATTAATCAGGGAACCTCTCTCTCTCTCGTCTGCTGCCACATCAGCATTTTATTTATTTATGTGGGGGCTTTTTATACAAGCCAGCATTGCATTGTTGCATTTATTAATTTCATTCAATTTGCCACCACACTTAATGCATTTAAAACCCTTTTGGTATTTTTTTCAATTGTTTTCCGTGCAGCATCCGCCCCACAGTTGCGACCGCCGCAGTGCTCCTACTACGACTGCTCCCTGCTGTATGCCAAATCCTGCTACGAGCATGCCCTCATCAAGAACTGCTGCTGCAATAATCCCTACTGAACGCCAGCCACCCACCACCCACCACCCCCCCTTAATTTATTTATTCAACAAACTATTTTACATGTATTTAAATTTACCATAACCCATATACCATATACCACATACCATACCCCAAGCCAGGGCTTTTAATTCCACTCTACGTTAAATATAATTAAGTAAATTATTTTAAAACTCAAAACCGAATGTTGTGCTGAATGATTTGGACAGATGGCAGCAACATTTCCCTGTTTGTGTGCTCTCTACACAGAAATCCCATTAAGATGGTTCCAGTTCCAGTTCCAGTTCCAGTTACCTGTCAATACTATTGCGGATGCGGATGCGGATGGCAGCACCCCTCAATGGTCGAAAAGTTAACTGAAAATTACCGTGCATCGACAGTAATTATTAGGCATGCCATGCAGCTGGAAATGGGACATTTATTGGCTTAAAATTGCACAGCTTTTACCGAGTACAAAAATTAATATTAAATGGCAAGAGAATCCCCTGCCACATGTGGCAGTACATCCACTCAGATATCTTTTGAAGTAAGTCTCTGTCTCTTATTAGAAATTTGTTCGATTTAGTTGGGTGGCCTTTGGCTGGCTTTTGGTTTGCCATTTGCACCGGCATTTCGCGGCTCATTTATCAAATTGCCTCTCTCTTTATCGCACGGCGCTGTCATACGATTAGCATAAACAATGTTTTCTCCGCAGATTAATTGATTTTTAATACGCAGATACAATCGATGCACGAATGCACACATAACCCACACATAACCCACACATAGCTTCTCGCATTATCTAATCCCGAAATTATGTGCATTAATAAATTATTTAAATACCCAAACGACAAAAAAAAAATAGCAAATAAATATATATTTCGAGGGTTAAACTTTCCATTCGCATTTAGAGGTGGAGGAGCATCAATGTGACTATCGATGCAACGATGTTTTTTCTTCTTATTTCTATAAATATCGATGGTTTGAACAAAAAACAAAACAAAAACCAAAAAGGGAAGAGACTCCCTTTCGGCTTTGAACTTTAAGCGCACATTAAAAGCCTCTTTTAAACATATTAAATATAATCAAGAATTAATATATCGAATATTAATCGAATAGAGACGTCATAATGACATTCGAAGCTGCAGCCCAAATATCGCCACAAATATCGAAATGTCTCCACGTTTTTCCATCTCTCATTCACACGGCCGCCGCACTTAAATGTTAATTAATTTATTTTAACCAAAATACGGACATAATTTAGGAGCCAAAGCGAAGCAGAAAAAGCAAAGCAAAAGCAGCAAAAACTCTTTTCGAATTACGAGGAAACAAGTCGCCTTTGGATGCTCTGCTCTGTCAAACTTTTCTGTCCTGTTTTTTTTTCATTCTGGAATTTTCTTGTGAAAAATTGCAAGCAGTGCCAAAAGTGCCAGAAAAGTGCTAGAGAACAGACAAATTAGTGTCCCTTTACCAGCAGCAGCAGCAGCATCAGAGAATCTACTTCTTGGTAATATAAAAATATTCGCAAACTAAATAAACTTTAAGGAAATAAATTTGTGTGTTCGATTTTTTTAGAATTTTTTAGAAGCTTGTGAAAATGGTCGAGCCCCACGGAATTCCGGTCGACTTGGTCGAACTTTGCAATCAAATGGACAAAATAATTGACTTCTTATCGAAAGAACTGCAGAGGGCCAAAAACAGGCAGCCGGTGATGAGCACGGATAGTCTGGAGCAGTTCCTGTCCGTAAATCTGGGCGATAATGTTCTGCCAATTATCATTCGCTGGGTATTGATCAAGACCCACAAAGATCTAATTGGAATATACACAATGAAGGAATATATCAATGCAAAAAAATAAAACAACAAACAAACACAAAACCCAATGTCAGCAGGCACGCCGCACGCCGCACACTGCAACAAAACTCATGGGACAGAGCCAGCAAATACACTGAAACAGAACACACACAGAAATGGTGCATAGAGAGATGCACAAATGACACTACGCTACACCACACAGTAATATACACTACACTACACAGATCTAAACATAATTGTAAACAGCAAAAACCAAAGAAGAAGAAGACATTATGTGCCAGCCCTGAAACACACAACAATAATAAAATAAAATAAACAAAATATGTTTATTAATTGCAAACATTTTGAGGCTCTGTTGGACAAAGCCCTGCATCATACAATAATAATACACCCCGCCCAAAAAAAGGTATTAGGAAGCAACACTTCTTTTGGCTTTCTTTAGCGTCTTTCCATAAATCTAAAATTATAAAAAAAAAAAAACAAAAAATCTCTCGTAATCCACACAGAAGAGAAGCAGCAGGGAGGCAGAGGCAGCAAGATACCCAAAATCCAAAGGCGCGCCAAGAAAATATTAGCATATTACATAAGAATTTTCACTTTCATTTAGTATGACGAGGCGAGGAAAGACCGACCCGCCACACCACCACTACAAACATACCACTCGAAGCGATTCCATTCCATTCCATTCCATTTGAGCATCTCTCTTGGTCTTGGACTTGGACTTGGACTACGCTGACGAAGAAGACCAGAGACCCCTCTCGGCAAATACTTTTGGCTTGATTAGCATAAATCTCTATATTAAGTGGCTGGCTGGCTTGCTTTTGGCGGGGTGTGCAGGTCCGGCTGCTGCTCTGCGCGACTGACAGGCGGCGGCGGCGATGGCAAGGCCATGGACGGCTGCTGCTGCTGCTGCTAATGCTTTCTCCGCAGAGCCAAATGCCACAGGGTATTGCTATTACGAAACGAGGCTTCACTTTGTGACGCACTGCAGCAACGTTGGTTCCGTTTCCATAAACAAAACTGATTTATGTCACGTCTTTTGGCACAGCTTTAGGCCCAACTTTATTGTTCACTAATTGAGCTAGTTTTGAAAACGATTTGCATGTGATCTCATTTTTGGTGGATTATGGCAAAGTGTTAACTCATTTCTGTTGGCTCTTTTTCAGTTTTAGGGCATTCCCAAAGCGGATTTAATGCAATGTAGAATAAAATTTCGATTTTGCGGCATGATTTCTAAGCTCATTTCGGGCACATCTAATTTTTGGAGTATTATAATTATAGTATTGGAGTAATTATATATGTATAAGTATAATTGCTTTATTCGAAAGTTTTCTAGCTACTTTTCGTGTGGCAAGTAGTCTTTAGCCCTCTTTTATTCTTAGCTTTCCAACTATGTGTGTGGCAAGGGTATTTCCCATTGCGGTCTCTCGCTTTTGTTCTTGGCGCCCCGCCCCGCCCCGCCCAGTCCTTATTCCGCCTTCGCTTGCTGCTGCTGCCGCTGCTTGTGTTGGCGCAACAATTGTCCGGGAAATCGAGCGAATGGCCACGCCCAAACGCTTGCCGCATTGACAGTTATTGGGCGAAACAAATTTAACTTTTTTCCTTTTTTTTCACCACCCCCCGCCCCGAATAGGCAGAGTCCTCGACGGACGGGTCCGGCCCGGCGAAGGCAACCGAGATAATCACAAAAGTTTTGTAATAATTTCAATTTTTTTTTCCCCCCTTTCCCGCTCCTGCCATTCCCCCCGCCCAATCGGTTTCTGTTCGGTTAGGTTTCTGTTTTGGTTTCCACCCCCTGCTGCTGTTTTTGGCTTTGCACTTTTTCTAACAATTTCGCTTCGAATGAAACCTTTAATGGATTTCAAAAGAAAAATTTATTTTGACAATGACAATGAATTTTCCCTCTGCCACCCTTCAATCTTCCTCTCTCCCTCACCCCCTTTCCCTCTCCCTCTCTCTGCTTGCAGATTTTTATTTTATTTATTCATTTTCTGGGCATAGCTGCTCAAAGTGGGTGTGTGTCATACGCGGTACTCGAAGATTGTGGGGGTATATTGCTAGCCGGCAGCTTATGCAGCATCGATGCGAAGGCTTTCAGCTACTAGCTGGCAGAATCTGCTTGTGATGGGCCATAGAAACTATAAAGCCAGGATGAGCTGGAACCCTGGACCTACGCAGACTAGGGGCTATGTTTTTTTGTTTATGTAGAAACCGATTACTGGGTAGCATAGTGACGCGGCTCGTGTGTCCGTTGCTCCAATCGTTTTGACTGGCTTCTTCTTTTTTATTGCCTTTGCGAAAGTTTTTAATGAGAGCGCGTTGAAATTGTATCTGTGCTCAGCTCAGCTGTGGGAGGAGGAGGGTTTGGATTTTCCTTTTTTCCCCCAATCCCCGCTCGCCGCTGATTCATTCTTTTTCGTTTCCTTTTCCTCTCCCTTACGTTCGTTTCGTTTCGTTGTGTATCGTTGGCTGGGAATTTGTGTGTTTGGTTGTTTTCTTTATGAAGTAAGAACTCGGGACACGTTTACTTCATCAAATGCGCTTAATTAGAATTAGCATCGGAATGTGGCTCCTTGTCCGGGGGAATGTGGCGAGACCAGAGCAGAGTTCCATAGAAGAAAAAAAAACAAAAAAGGGAACAATGAACTATGCTAGGGATACATTATTCCTGCTGCGGCAGTGGGGCACGGGCACAGGTGAGCGACTGAAACGAGTTGATAGCTCGTAGCTTCAAACGAGCACCCAAAAAAAAATGCCAAAAATTTGTGAAAAATGTCAAACGGATTGGAGCTAAGCTTCGTTGCCCCCGACGAGTACGAGAACGAGTACGAGGTGGGGTTGGGTATGGGGGGGGGTGGCAATAAAGGCAATATTTGGACACGGTTCCGATGCAGAAAATTTGCTGTTGGCCCAAGTGCTATGTGAAATGGCCCTGAAGCAAAGACGATAAGCCAAAGGTGCAGACAGCGGGGGCAGGGAGCACACATTTCGATGCTGGAAAATTGATTTCATTTACTTTGTATGACTTTTGGCCAACAAAAGAGGAGGAGCAGGAGAAGGCGGGCGAAGAACACTGCGTAGAGAGGGTTTGAAAATATGCTTGGATGATTGATTGTTGGATCGATATTAGAGACTTGAATATACCTATATAAATATACACATATATTCAGATGGATATTCTGCCGGTAATATCTCATCTATTTTGAAGAGTTGCTGCAGCTCTTTTGTTCGATTGGGTAATTGGGGGGAGGGGAGATGGCTGCCACTTTGGGTTACCTTTCCCAATTATCATCGAATTTTCAGCCGTCTGTTGTTTTTTTTTTTTTTGCTATGCTTT